GAGAGAGAGAGAGAGAGAGAGAGAGAGAGAGAGAGAGAGAGAGAGAGAGAGAGAGAGAGAGAGACCTTGTTCACCGTGTCATTTATGGGTCCTATTACTCGCAGTCGCAGTCTTGCTACTGCTCACTCTGAGCTAAATAACACATTGGGAAAAGCAGTTGGTCGATTGAGCATGGTTGAGAGCGCGCAGCACGACATTGCGGACAAATTGTCTGAACTGCTAAAAGCTGTTGAAAGGTCAATTAAGGCGAGCGAACAAAATAAGGAGACTTTAACAGAAGCCCACGAATTAGGCACTCGCAAGCATACAGACTTAATCAAATCACAACAAGAACAACAGGTACAACTTGCAACATTAATCTCACAAAGCACATTACAGATAGGACCAGCGATTCACCCGACACCTTTTTATGGAAAACCCACAGATGACCTTCTGTCGTTTATATAAGCCATTTCGAAAGGTTCTCGAATTTCTGCGGTTGGAATGATGACCAACGTCTTAGAGCTTTGCCACTTTATCTACAGGGTAATGCTAGTTCATGGTATGCAAGTTTTGATTCAGAAACATTGAAATCATATAATGATTTAGCTACTGCTCTTAAAGCCCACTTTACTAATCCTGCTTCTATTTGGCTGTGGCGCCAACAACTGTCTGCTCGAAAACAGGAGGAACATGAGTCCTTGTCCTGACATTAGGCATTTATGCAAACGTTTGGGCCTTACTGATTTAGATGTAATGCACTATTTTATTCAAGGTCTTCGCCCTGATCTAAAAAGCCATGTTATCTCTTAGGGCAGCCCAAAAGTTTATCAGAGGCTGAAAATCTTGCGAACCTTTTGGAGGCTGTGTTAAAACATACACCTGATTTCACTCAGCAAAAACTCGAAAGTCAATTGCAGTCTGTAGTAACAAGTTTGGAACGCCTTACAAAGGCGCAACAAAACAACATATCAAACAGTGTTGCCGCCTATAATCATGCACTTCAGATGTGACCAACATCATGGGGGTCAGTCCACTCTCTCAGGTCCCAGACATGATTCAGATCACCTGGCTAAGTTGGTTCGAGACGAACAGCGTCGACAAACCAGGTTCATAGCACCAACAACCAGGCCTTCAAATTCAGGCGTACCATCTTTTCGCAACCGCCGTACTACCGATGGATTACCTATATGCAATAAGTGTGACAAAGTTGGTCACATAATTGCTCGCAGTTGTAGGAGTATTGGTAATCCCCATGCAACACATCCTTTACATAACCAAACCTCTCGCCCAAATGCACCTACTTTTCGACTTGGCTTATGATGTAATATTTGGTGCAGATCTCTTGACGCATATATTATCAATCTGTTATCAACTCTGACACTGGAGAATTGCAGGTACCCCCTCCTACGGATACACCACCACCTACGGATACACCACCACCTTGTCCGATACCTAGTCAAGTGGAAAGGATATATAGCCCAAAACACAATTCATATGGGTTGACGAGACGAACGTAGTACAAACTAACGCCAACGAACATTGACAACTGACTATGCTTTGCCTTGGCCTATTGAAGCTTTCGCCTTTCGGATCATTTTGCTCTGAATTGAACGGTATTCGTCCTCCCCATTTTTCCATATGACTATATGCTTCTCTCGACGAACAGTTAGCTCATTATTTCCCCCTTCTCTTTCGGACCGACACATTGTAGTTATGGTATAGCGATTATGGTATGGATTATTTTGTCGTTTGTGAGAAGAGAATCGTGAGAGCGTCCAGTTTTGTACAAATGTGTAATATATGTTAATCATTGTGTATCATGTGTTATGTCTCATTCGTTTTGTCCTTTCCTTGACACAACAAAGAAAACAAATCACTTGTTACCATCTTTTTGGTACTTATCTCCGTCAACATGCCTTACAGATTAAGGTTTGTACTTGTTCGTATTTGAGCATTCATTATGAACTATCGAAAATGAACTATCCCGGCCAAGAATGTCAAGAATAGAGTTGCGAATTAAAAAAAGAGAACACTACAATTCTGGAGCGATAGCACATTGACCGAAGTCCAAGGTTGTGGCAGCACAAGCCAGGAGCACAAAGAAAACTATTACTGTGGAACATTTTTTTCTATAATTTTGTTTAATAATTAAATAATTAAAAAAAAAGAAGGAAAAGAAAACCAGGAGGTTTTCAACTAAAGATGGGAGATATGTAAGAGGACCATTGACCTTTGTTATGTGAACCTTTGAACTTTGTTTGGTCATTAAGATTAGGATGCGCACGCACCTATGGACAATGCACAATGAACAATGAACAATGCACCTTGTCTTATGTAAATAGATATCGATACGCACGTTCATTCGAGAGATTTGATACATAGCACGCACTGGGGAAACATTAAAGGATATTAAGAGATATACGTATTAAAGTTTTACTTGTTGTGGATCTAATCAAGCTGTCCCCCTAACGGCCTCGACGATCCCGCGTGTTGCTATATAATAACAACGAATAAAGAGGTCGTTTTACAATTATCTCGCAATAAATTACAACGGCTTACGCTGACGCGCTTAGATTGCTAACGCAAGCAGCGGCGTAGCCAGCTCGATAATTGGGGGGTCCATATTCATATACTCGTGTTCTGCATTATTAATTTCTTTTGAAATGGATTGTTTTTAAGGTCTGTGAACACGAATATATGAATATGGACCCCCCTAATCATCCGAGCTGGCTACGTCGCAAGCATTTAAATATGTTTACTTGCGCGCGCGCGCGCTTGAAATTAGAAGCTTTATAACTAGGTAGGTAGGTAAAACTTTATTTAACTACGCTAACCCCTACAGCGAAGGCTGATTTCCAAAGGGGGCGTAGATTTAAATAGTTAATAATTAATACAAATTATGGTCATACATTACATTACAGTTAACAACAATTACAATAATTTACAAATACAAAGAGTATATAATTATTTACATATTAAATTAATGTTAGTACTATGCAATATTTTTGATTAACGTAATTAATTAATTAATTAATTGGCCAGGTGTCGTATACATGAATTAAACGAAGCAAGAGTATGTTTGTTTCTTGCTTCATCAGAAAGGCTGTTCCACAATTTCGCTCCTCTATAACTAAGACTTTTTTTAAGATATTCAGTCTTAGGTTTGGGCAAAAAGAGTTTGGTGGAAGAGCCTCGCATATTATAGTAATAAGAGGAAGACGTCCTTTGAAAAATGTTGGTTAGTCGTTTTGGCGCCAGTTCGTGAGTTATTTTATACATAAGACTTGCTACGAAATGTGTTCTGCGTTCACTTAAAGGTTTCCATTTCAGTTCGTCTAGAGCAAGTTCAGATTGACCGTGTTCGTTTTTACGGCCAGTAATAACTCTAGCTGCCCTATCTTGTAGTTTCTCGAGTCAATCAGAAAGAGTGGCACCAATGGTGTCCCAAACTTCGCAACAATAATCTAGGTGTGGAAGTATAAGTGCATTATAAGCACAAATTGATGTATTATGATCCACACAAGATTTTAGCTTTCTGATCCCAATTCCGGATGAAATCTTCTTAGCAATTTTATCAATATGCTTATCCCACAATAGAAACTCGTCAATATGAACTCCAAGTGCTTTTGTTTCTTTGACCTTTTTAATTGGTGTATCACCAACAAATACATTTGGAGCAGCAAGTAAATTATTTATGTTGTACCGAGATCCTATTAGTAGATACTCAGTTTTGACTAGATTAAGAGATAATCTATTTGCAGAAAGCCATTGTTTAACGTTGGTAAGGTCATGATTTATGGCCACCTCTACATCTTGAATTGACTTGCTAGATACAGTTAGAGTCGTATCGTCGGCAAACATTCTTGTCGACGATTACTGTTAGGCAGATCATTAATGTAGATCAAGAATAAGAGTTGGCCAAGAATTGAACCTTGAAGGATTCCACATGTAACCAACTTCGTGCCCGACAGAGCGCCATTAACGGAGCGCATGATGGCTTCATGATGGTTTAATGATGGCTTCTGTAGGCCATAAAGATCAAGTTTCGTTAACAGGATGTCATGATTTATGGTGTCGAACGCCTTTTGTAAGTCTGCTCCTATGCCTACATTTGCTAAACAGCTCAGATCTTATATTCAATGTATTATTTTTGTCTGATAACATAATCATTCTTTTTTCCTCGGTGCACAGACAACAAATTCATTCTTGGGAAAACGGCTGGAACTTGCTTCATAACCGACCATTTTATTCGGAATGATTTATTCTGCGATTTAAGACCCCAAGTATATTTCGAAAGTTCCGTCTCTGTCGAATAGAGCTCATTGTTCAATGATTTCAAATGGTTGCTATATCTTAACTTGAAAGGACCCGCCGTCATTCCTATATAATTCTCTTGATCACTTTCCCATTGTCGCTTATAATCTGGGCTTTATACACAACGCTTCTCACGAGACAATTGCCGTTCAGTGGACATTCACTTTTAATTCTGCAGTTACACGATTTCGAGGGAATTTGGGATGGATTCTGATTCTTAAGAATACGCCGGTTATGGTTTGAAATTGATGCTTTAATATTGTTCATGCATGAATAACTGACTTTGACAGAGTTTCGATTGAAAATATTTGTGTAGGATCGATGATTTTGGGAAATGCTTATCTATTAAACGAAGGAAATTTTCTGCAACTTTCGTCTTCACGTTCTTGCTGTTTATTATTTTGCTTAAGGTCTTTGGGAATGCATGAAAATTAAATTATTCTAAATATTCAATGACCCTGGGGAATCAAATTCTAATGTTCCAAGAACGAAACGTCAAGTGTTTTTTTATAAATACACCTCGTTTAACGAAGGACCAAAGAGTTTCGATATGTTTAGAATATGCAAGGGTAAATAATGCTCGTGAGGTTATACAGGCGGCGTTGGGCAGGTCTCTGACAACGATCGTGTACTTTCTGACTATAGTACGTCTAAGCACAGGTTATTGCTCTATTAAATATTTAATAGGCCGCTTTTGGCTAATTCTCGACACTTTAAAAAATGGTTACTCAAGTTTAAACGCAGCTCTCTCGGTCAATATTGCACGAAAATGCACAGGGCGTATATCAAAATTTAAGTTAGACAATACTGAATGCAATGTACGTAGTTCACGTGTAATAGCTCTTTTAGCTTTTAAGTTAAAACAAATCAAACAGGTTAACTTTTTTTACACCACCCGGTACATATACAGTGCTAAAAAAAAACCATCAGTCTGTTTCATCCGTATATGAATCATCAGGTGGTGAGTAATTTCGAAAATGTAGGTTGCTTTTATGCTATCGAAAGAATGTGCGGAATGCGTGTAGGCGAAAGAATGCTTAGGCGAAACAATTGATGCTTAAGCGAAACAATGCTTGGATCATAAAATTTTCTTAACGACCTAGTTTACTCGAAACCGGTTTTTGTGACGACACTTGCCGAAAATTTCGCTTTTTTTATTGAGTAAATCATCTTTGTTTATGTCTTTTAAAATGCAAAATTTTTCTTCCAAACATAAATTGCAGCGTTTTGATTCCCCTGCATGTGTACGAAATAGCGTGTTTTAAAATTGACCATTTGATGGTATAATCCTGATTGTTTTCTTTTAATTTCTAAATATGTTTCAAACGTTCCGTTTTGTTTGAGTCTTTTTTATGACGAAAAGATGAATATAATATATATATATATATATATATATATATATATATATATATATATATATATATATATATATATATATATATATATATTTATACAGTCTCAACCTGTGTCTTGTTTTGGATCATATATTGTATTCTCAAGATGTCTTGTCTTTTTGGAATTTTTTTTCCTTTACTTTTTGAATTGTCGGCTGGTCATGGGTCATGGTTTTTTAACATTTGTCTATTTTAGATTTGAAGAGATATGTCCTGCAAGCCTTCGGGAACGGCCAAGAAAATTTCGATAAATTTTATCTCAGAAGTCCTTCAGTCCATTTCCAAAAAGCTTGTTTTCACTTCAGTTATTTAGCTGACGCTAAACCATGGGATGAAGCTTTCCTTGGACGATTGTTTCTTTTCGTTGAGAGGTTGAATGATGGCGAGAGGTTTCCTGTTTGGAGTCAGAATGTTTATTACGGAGCTGAATGGAATGATATTTATGTTGAAATTGTGCTGCCTTTTAGTGAATATAACGTATGTTCTATCAGTTATAAACTGTTCTTCCTAGTGATCCAGTAAGGTGTGATCCATAATATAGTACAATTTTTCTTTCTTTAGTTTATTGTTGAAGGCCAGAAGATATCTACAAATTATCTACTCCGCGATTTTTCGCTTTCTTCAAGTTATGAAAATTGTCCAGCCGCAGGTAATATATAACGAGTACATTTATTAAAGTGGCTATAATCCTATATATATATATATCACTTGTGGGACCTTTACGGATTTAAAAAGAACGTAAAAAATTAATTAGTTAATAAGTTCAAAAGCTTTTTTAATTTAGTGCAATAATTTCGAAGATACTGGCCTCTAAACTACCCACAGTTCCTGAGTTCCAGGCACCTATATGCACAAAGGACAGTTTCGAAAAAGTCCAAATTCAATAGCCGTGTTTAGGCCCAAGGAGGCTGGGACTCAGGAACAGTCCGTTGTTTAAAGGCCTATATCCTCAAAACAATTGCACTAAATCAAAAAAATTCTTTTGAACTTATTGACGAACTTTTTAATCTCTTTCCAAATCCATAAGAGTCCCACAAGTGATATAGGCACTTTAATATTCACTCGACCTATAGTAAATATTTTCTTTTTTCTTTATTCAAGCTGAGAAAAAGTTTTATATAACTCAAAATCCAAACCAACCAGAGAAATTATCAATTTCTGAAGACTCTGGATACTGTGGCTTCTTTCCAAATTGGTATTTTATAACTGCTGTCGTACCGAGTCCCATCTTTCCTCAAACTGTATATGTATACTCTATAAACGACTTCCTTATATTGAACACTGAACGCAATGATACACTATATGGCGAGTTGCTGCGTTATTTTTATGTTGCCAATGACAAACTATTCAACCAATCGCAAGCCGTGTATACAGTGTTGAGGGATGGAGATGGGTTTGCGTATGTTACGGAGTTCCTACCCAGGCCGATTCTCAACAGTACTAATTATGGTTTCTTTGTGAAAGAATTTGCCAGCATTGAAGGTGGGCATATAAGGATGACGTCACTTTCAGGTTAACATACATATATCAAAAGAGTTCTTCCAGTTTGACTCTAATCAAACATCGCAAGTTTTTTCGGGTGTTTGTGAAACCCGGAACCCTACCCGAACACCCGACTCCTACCCGGAACACACCCGAAACACCCCCAGAACCCCGTTAAATATAGTTTAAGAAGTTTTGCTCGAGTATTTGCACGTGCTTTTAACAAATTTGACGCGATAACATTGATGAATGCAATCAAATAAGTTATTGGACATGATGTTATTAGATTTACCACTTTTCTGCTACAAATTTGGATTGCTACAGTACTGCTCAGAAATAACCTAACAGAAAATGCGTTCGGAACGCGTCCCGAATGCGTCCGGAATGCGTTCCATTTCCGTTCCATTCGCGTTCCAATTGCGTTCCATTTGCGTTCCACTTTTACCGGAACGCATTTGCGGAACGCGTTCCGGTTACACTCGTATCGAAACCGGACATCGTCGGAAATCATCGCGATTTCCCGAGTATTAGTCAGCCTCACTTTCACATTTTGTGTTCACACTATAAAGCATGAAACCGCGTTTTTATATTTGCTTTCCTCTAACGAGTCGCGAATCAAAATAACCTATGATGTACACATCACACAACACACAACACACAACACACAACACACAACACAACACAACACAACACAACACAACACAACACAACACAACACAACACAACACAATACAATACAACACAGACCTTTCTAGCTCGGGTTGAAAGACACGATCGCGATTTGAAGCATTTTCGGCTGTTTGATTTGTATGTTTATGGTTACATATACAGTTGAAACAAACACGCAAAACAAAGCCATTAAAACGATTTTTTAAAATTATTTGTGATTACATGCTGCCCGGACTGTGTCGAGTTTAGGTCTGGGTCAAACCGGCCCGAGATAAAGCTTAATATTATATATCAACAGTCAAAGTCGCATTTTTCTAGTGTTTTATTGGTTGAGAGCATATCACGTGAGAGTGACGGAATTAGGCTGTCTCCCTCGCAACAGCGCGAGAGGGAGATAATACGTTATCGACCGGCGAATAACAAAAAAAATCACATGCGCCATCACGTGAAGATGCGACCTTTGGACATGCTTAGTACGCAATCAAAACTTTCGCTTTAAGTAACTGCAGTGTAGCCAGTGTTTAATATAACGTTTTAACAATAAAATATTTCATGTATTTACGTTCATTTGTTCTCTAATTTGTTGTTTCTTTGACTATTGATATATAATAAAACACTTATTTACTGAAACCTCGGGAAAGCAGTGTGTTTTGTGGACCCTCGACCGTCGATGTTTCCCTCGGCTTCGCCTCGGGAAACATCGACGGTCTCGGGTCCACAAAACACACTGTTTCCCTCGGTCTCAGTAAATAAGTGATAAATATTAATTGTTCATTAGTTGCTAACTGTCAAAACCTACAGTAGCTCAGGTTTCATTCGGTGTTGGGATTTTCCGATGCGAGAACGCGGTTTTCAGCCAAAGTGGGGAACGCGTTTGGAACGCGTTCGGAACGCGAATGCAGTGTTAGGTTATTTCTGAGCAGTAGTGTAAGTTTAGCATTACTTTTTGTCAAAGCTAAACACATAAAACTATTTCGGTTTTCGCTATGTCTATAATGCATCGATTTTGTTTCTTTGCAAAGCCAGGTTTTGCCCAAAGTCTTTTTCTTGTGGCCATAAGTACAACTTCGTTGAAGTATCTATATGCATGCTTGACGCTTTTAATGTTTACACTATACAGGGTGTCTAAAAAAACGCTATGGAAATTCAACAGGCTGTCGTGCATCATAAACTTAGCTATAAGCAATTCAATTTTTACATAGGACGAAAGAGCTGTTATTTAGCTTTTCTATGATACCTTTTTAGATATAATCAATCCAAAAGCAACGCAAGCCTGCTGCAAGGTGTTTGTTTCGTAAAACGTTTTGATTACGAACGTTCTCGTTCAGTGGTGAATTAAACGATGTTTAATGCAAGTACGAGATAGAACGCTTCCTGTCGCCGATTCAATATGCATACAGAGAGGGAGGAAGTTGTACTAAAGCGCTGTTGGCGATCCAACATATTTAGATAACAAAAATTGCAAAGCCGTTAGGCTCTTTTCAATGGATTTTAGTATTAAAAGCTTTCGACTCCGTGAAACATATATACTCCTTTTTGAAAAATTGAAAAACGTGTCCCTAAACCCATATACTATAAATTGGTACCTAAACTTTCTTAAAGACTGACAACAGAGAGTCGTTTATAGAGATTTACTATGGGGATTGGAACTACGTCAATAAAGGAACAATGCAAGGAAGCGTTAGCGGCCCGTATCTTTTTAACATGATTTTTATAAACGATCTGGAGATTGACATTGATCATGAGAGTGCTCTTTTCAAATATGCTGATGATTCTAACATCTTAGTACCAGTTTGGTGGGATGGTACAGATTAATCAGAACATGCGGTGGGTCACTTTTTGTGTTGGTACGAGAATAATACCATGCATAGCAATCCAAAAAATAGGTACGCAGCGCGTACATGTTGCATGCCAATCAAACCTTTTGATGCGTGCGCTTATAACTAATCTAACAAAACCTTTTTGGGGCGGGAAAACGTTTTGGGGAGCGCACAGGTTTTCTTGGGGGAGGGGGGTCGCACTCCTCCATCCGTCTATGTTGTACGCAAAGATTTGCCTAAATCTAGGCTTGCAGAGATACGACTTTCTGACACTAGACATCTATAGAAAGTTTTACTTCATTAGTAAACTAATGCAACGATGTATAACGTTTGATAATGATAATCAACAAAAATAGTACAACACTAAATAAGATTTATTTTGGACCATGGCTACTGTATATACAAAATTGAAACTAGAGTATGGGTTACAGTAAATTTTTCAACATACAAAATAAGTCTATAAGTCAGTGATTTAATTACAATCGATTGCACAATTTCCAAAGTTTCCTTGCCTTAGTAACGTTGGCAGTGGCACAGCCGCTTAACTGGCAATGGCACAACGGCTTGCCTAAATAACATTCACAGTGGCACAATTGCTTGCTATCTTTACGATACCTTAATTAAACAGTACATAATTTTTATTTCTGTGTCTTAAGAGAAGCCCATATTGCTTTATGATCACTAAAGTATGTTTCTAGAATACCAGCTTCAATTCCCTCTTCAATTAAATTTGTGTATAAATGATCAATTAACGTTCTGTTGTCGGTTGTAAAGCCTGTTATCAGTTGCCTGTAATGATTTTGTACAACCATCAAATTGTAGAGTGACTGTCGATCAGATTCTACCATCCAGTTGACATTGAAATCTCCAATTATAATGTCAATTATAATCTTCATCAAGTACGCTACGTAGTGAAGACAGTAGACGTGATATAGCAATACTGGGTGAGCGATATATTCCAATTATATTCAGATGCGGATTACTTTCTGTTTTAATAATTGTAAACTCGATTCCATTGATGTTATGAGCATAAAGGTATCCTTCTTTTAAAAGAACTCGGCTATAAACAGCTGTTCCACCGTATGGACGTCCTGGACCCGTACCTTGGGAAACATCATTTCTGAACAACCTGTAGCCATCAATGTTGTATATATCGTCAGTGTCTGAGGAGTTAAACCTTGTTTCAGTAAATATCACAATATCCATAGACGAGTAATTAATGTCTTTTCGAACATCTTCAATATGTTTATGCAGAGATTGTGCTTGAGGTAACAAACTTTCAAATCAGATTGATCCAACATATAAAGTGGTTTGAAACAAAGATTCAAACTTTCTTCGGTTCTTAAGATTTCCATTTCCTTGACAACTCTTTGATCAACAGATATCTTGTCTTCACATAAGTCAGTGATGTATAATCCTTCTATTGTTGTAACTCGACTTAGAGCAACATAATGAATGTGGGGAAAATCCCTGTTGCTGTTTAGGTTTACAACAATTTGTGTTTGAGTATCACCTTGTGATCTATGAACGTTTTTGCTGATGCTGGTCGCAATGGAAACTGTTTTCTAACAACTTGAGCAGATTTCGTTCTACCAACTGGAAATTGGGTTGTGACAGGTTTAATTGGTGTCCATGTGCTTTGAATTCCTGTGACATAAAGCGTTCTGTTTTCTTGACGAGTTTTTCTACCAACATCTTCATAATCAAATTAGACCCAGATAAGACCCGAAGGTTTATTCTCATCAGTGAGCTGTATCAGCTTTAGAATGTTACTCGCCCAATTTCTAAGACCATCGTCAGTTCGCACATTTGTTGCAACTTCTGTACGTTGCCCAACAGCAAGTTTTAGCTTGTGAGCTAACTGTTTAGAATTTTTTAACGGAACATAAGGTATTTGCCTCATTATTTTTTCCTTAAGTTCAGCTGAAGCTGCTCCAATAACACTATCTTGAGCTTTAGTTGTATATCTATTATCAGTAAATGATTCATATACTTGTTCATTATATTTGTCTACTAAAGCATTTTGAATAAACGAGCGTGGAGCTTCTTGAGGACAACTCGATTCCTGAACACATCTTTCCTTCAGCTTTTGAAGATCAGTAGTTGTATGTTTACCTTCTCGTAACCTGTTTAAGATTTCAGCAAACATTTTACTTTCTCTTTGTCGCATGATCTCATCAAGTTCAAACAGTCTAAAATATTTTTTCCATAAATTTGGAGCAAGAACACTATAATAGTTTAAAGACTGGAGATAAGTGAAAATGTAGCCATCCATTACAGGTTTAAGTTGAAATAAGTCACCAATTGTTGCTCCAAACGCAAAAAGTTGCTCAAAAGTTGCTGAGCATAATCGGGATATGCCTAGCAGAGCTTCCCTGTTGACAAGTAAAATCAGGTTAGGAGTATAGGGTTAGGAGAAGGGTTAGGGTTACAGTGCCGTAGGAAGTTATTTTTGATTGGGGAGCTGAAAGTGAGGAAATGTTTAAATTTAGAG